CCTCCAATCTGGACTTTTTTTCTTTTTCACTTCTGGCTGCTCTCATCAGCAGTCATCACAGAGAGCTCACATTTTTTTATCATTATTTTTACATCTGATGCTTTACTCACTAAGTTACTACAGCTCACGTGTGGAGCAGGGGGCTGCCATCATTGGCACCTGCTCAGAGTGGAGCAGCTGAAGGTGCTTCACCTTTCCCACCCGCATTTATGATGCAACAGTCGGTGGGATTAGAACCAGCAGTTTACTGATGACAGGCTCACCCAGATTAAATGTGTTTAATAATCTGACAGAATATATTCTACATGAAGTCAGTTTAACAGTATTTAGTATTTATTGTATTTAATCTCTTCAGTTTGATCTGATCTTCATCTAATCTGCAGCTTCTGTTTCGTTTGTCATGACCTCATCCTTCTGCTCCTTTCTGTCCCGTTCTTCCTGTTTGCAGTCAAATCTAGAGTTTCCATGTTTTACAGTCAAATGTTTCAGGAAACACAAGTTTTGTCCTCAGAGGTTTTCTTCTGCCCTCTACTGCTGAAAAGGATTAAATCAAGTCCCTCTTTGCTCCTGAATGTTTTCTCCTCCTCATCAGGACAAATGAATCAGATCCAGCATCACAGTTGGAGTTTTAAAGTCTCCACAACAAAAATACACCAATGATTTTCTACATTTCTTGTCATCAGAAAACATTTCAACTTTTTCATTTACAACAAAAACTTTTACAACAAAAACATTTGCAACGGTTTCATTTTTTATGTCCTTTTTATTTCCAGGGTTTTAAAAGCTCCATCCTGAGCTGGGCCGGTGGAGGGGGTCTGAGGAGACCAGCAGGACCAACCAACGTGGTTCACAGGTAGACCCTGGACAGGTAAGGGGTCCATCTTAGACTGTTAGCTCCAAAAAACAGAATAAAGACAAGAAATAAGAGAAATTTTAATAAGATGTAGAAGTTCACAACATTCTCCAGATGTTTCTTTAACAAATGTATTTAACTCTGACTGCTTCCAGCTGGTAGTAAACTGCAACACTAATCAAATCTAAAATATTAAGATTTGCCATCATTACAATACACAGGATTTTATTTCTTTTAAATTATACCTATCTTTTGTTCTGGCTCTTTTTCAGATGCTAAATGAAATATTAAGAGGGAAAAGATAAAAATCAGAAAGTTTTACATTTATAAAGAATTAAAATTAATTCGTTCTTAAAGTTTCAGTTCTTTTCATATCATTTCAGCTCCTTTGTAAGATGATCCTTTTTTCTCTCTGTTCCACCCTCAAACTGAGGGAGACTCACTCAGTTTTTTATGGTCCCTCACCTGTCTCCAACCTGTAATCTTCCTGCACAGGTGCTGTCATTCTCACTCCTCCCTCAGTGGACTGAACTGATCTCATCACTTCTTGTCTGTTCATCATTTCTGTTCAGCTGTCAATCATCCTCCCTGGAGTTCTGCTGTGGTCTAAGTTCTTTTGTTTTATGTTTAAAAAAACAACAACATAAAAAACTCTTCTCCATTAAACACTGCCGGTATTGCAAGCCGTTGGGGTCATAAATCGGGCGTATATTTACGTGCAAATCCTAACGCGCGGTGACGTAAATAACGTGCGAAAGCGCGGTGGCGTTACGCGCGAACGCACGGTGTGTTAGGGTTACGGTAGAAAACGCCACCGCGCGTTCGCACGTAATTTACGGCACCGCGCATTCGGATTTGCACGTAAATATACGCCCGATTTATGACCCCAACGGCTTGCCATAAAACACGACGCGAGCAGCCCGTCCCAAACTGAAGTTGAAAAAAAAAAAAAAATAAGACAAGAGGAGAGCGAGTAAAATGAACAAACATGTCGAAAAGAATGGAGAAAGAGATGGATGGAGCAGAAAAAGACAGGGTTAGAGGAAGATGCAACCAAATTAACAGAGCTTTTCTGTCGTAGAAAGACCGAATCATGAGTACAGGTTAGCAAACACTGTCTACATGTTCCTACCATCCAGACTTGGTTTATGTGTTTCTGGATGTGTTCAGGGCTCACAGAACATTAAACACTAGCCTATCAGGAATGTTTCATACCTGCATAAATCTTTAATCTGCTTTATCAACTAAAATTAACATCAATGCTGACCAGAAAAAGACACATTTATCACTGTAAAAGAAAACATATTTCAGGAAATGGTCTGTTTTTTGTGCTGTTTCTGCATTGATACAGCTAATTTTTGCTCAAGAAAATTACATTGCAGTGAGTATGATGTGTGGAAATTTCCTGTAGGCCTATTTGCACTGAATTCTTTGCAAAAGCACTGTAAAATCAGGTACCATTGCTGTTTTTTATTGGTAGCTGAAAAGGCCAGAGTCAGCCATGGAGTTTGATGCCAGTCATAAAAGTGAAGAGGAGGAGGAAGGGACAGATGAGGAGGGTGAGGAGAAGCAGGAGGAGATGATGAGAGGAATCAGGAAAGAGGAGCAGGAACCACTAAAAAGCAGTGCCAGGTACATGTGCAGTGTGCAGGACTGTGTTTACGATGGGTCTTTGTATTAAAATACATTATCCTGAGATCTGAGGATTGTAGTATACATCGTCTTTTTGAAACCTGAAACAGGCTTAAAATTTCACAATTTCCCTTCATCGTGTATTTTTCTTTCTTCTGACTGATCTATAAATGAGTTTTATCCAGTAATTATTCACTCTCACTAGCCCTAAGCTGATTTCAATCTTTTGTCCACAAATGTGTACAAGGTACAAAAACAAGTAAAATCTACATCTTTAATCATAAATCCACAGAAGACTCACTCTGGATAAAAGTGTTTCACATGATCTTTCAGGAGAAAGTGAACATTGAGGGGAAATTATTCATTTTTTCATGTTCTTAGCTGAGAAAAAGACTATTTTATATTAAAATGCTGTGGTTGTAAGAGGCTACTCCAGTCACAGAAACATTAAGCCTATATCCACCTCTGCAAGTTATGCTAGTGGCTTTCTGAATTAGACATCTGACTTCTTTTCCAGTGTTGATGAGCTATTTCTAGTCAGAGTAAAGATGGCTTGTTCATAATCTCCGCAGAGATCAGTATGTATTTCTTGGTTATGAAATAACCAGCGGAGAAGAGAAGTGGAGGAAAGTTGAGGCTCTGACTGTGTTTGGTGCCAATGACTGAAGTGTTAAAAGGTTCCTTTTTACCTCATGATGAACTCGGAAGGAAAGAAACCCTGTCCACTGTGCATAGATCCTAGTAGACTATGTTTTGTCTTCTTTATACATTTTATTTACTGTTATTTTTATGGATTGGATCTTGTACATTTGTTATAATAAACTGGGGTTTAAGCCTTTTCTTGCTCTTATTCCTTCTCGGCACAGAAATGTGGAATATACAGCGGGTAAAATAAGTATTGAACATGTCACCATTTTTCTCAGTAAATATATTACTAGAGGTGCTAATGACATGAAATTTTCACCAGATGTCGGTAACAACCCAAGTGATCCATACAGTACAAAGAAATCAAACCATAAATGTCCAGAAATGAAGTTATTTGTAATAATGTGGAATGGCACAGGGAAAAAGTATTGAACACACTTACTGAAATTTATCTAATACTTTTGTTGAGGCAGTAGCAGTAACGATTAGAACAAAAGGTCAGAAATAAGGGGTCACGAAAACATCTTGTATAATATCC